AACTCCCAGACTCTTTCTAATAGAACCCAGATTCTATTGTGCCTCTCCTACAGTCAATCAGCTATACTCTAGAGTCGCCTAGATTGTGTCTTACACAGCTTGCCTTCCTCTCCAGGTTATCTCCAGGCTCTCAAACTGCAGCCATTGCTCAAGAAAGGGGAAGCACTTCCACCCCAAATTCATCAGCACGTTTCCTGCCTCTGCATCTTTGCACATGCTAGGATCTCTTCCTATACTTTTCTTTTTATCCTCCTAATTATTCTGTAAAACTCATGCTTCATCCTTTAGAAAGTCTTCTCTGGTGTCTGTCTCCATATTCTAATTTAGAATGATCATATGTATTCATATGTGTGTCTACATACATATATATTAAGTTAAAAAGAGTATTAAAAATTCAGCTCTGGTTTAAAAGACTGGGAAATTATCATGTGATGAGAACTCACCTTTTTTTTTTCCAAATCATTTTCACTCTTATTGCCTGTGAGGTCAGTTTTAGTTCCGTCTAGCAGCGTCTACAGAAGGTCTGAAAGAATCTGTCCCTGACCACACAGTAACAACAGAACTGAGTGTCCTATCCAGGTCTTCAGGATCCAATTTCTTTCCATTTATTCTTATATGTCAGTCTAACTGGGAGATAAGGAAACCATTCACAGATGGTTACCTGATTGTTCAATGCACACTACAACCAATGCCAACATAGGAATAAACAAAGCAGGGAACACACTTCCCAACCTCCTTTTCTCCACAACGTTCTAGAAAGGGCACTGTTTGCATGCTTGGCTCACTCTCAGTACCAAACTCACAGCTGCAAATATTCCTATTGTGCTGATGGACTTATTAATATTTTGTTGAAGACATAACAAGCAAATAGCACAAAAAGATTCAGTCAATACCAGGGCCTGAAATGTGAGAATAAAACATCTTCACTTACAAGTCTGTATGAAGCAAGCTCCAAGCAGTACTCAAAGTGGTTCCAGTAATCACTTGCAGTTATTTCTCACCAAAGAACTGTGCAAAACTTAGCTACTCAGTTGCCTTTGTAAGTAATTTATTTTAAAACCTTGGATGTCAAATGAAAGATATTCATACAAAAGGAAATGAATTCAGAATGCAAGTCTGGAAATGTGTGAGCAGGATTATTTAAAAAGAGGCACAAGGGCGTACTTGGGGTGGGGAAATAATCTGTAGCTTACTGTGAATTGTGGTTAGTTAAATGCTTATACCTCACAGGTAAATAACTTTTCTGATCTGTTTATTTTCTTGTATATTAATCACATTCCAGAATTAAAACCTACTTACTGCTTGCCTCCTTCCTTTTCCTTCCTCCAACCTCAACCACTCCTATATGTCCATCTCACTTCTCAAATCAATGGCCTCTTTTTCTCTATTTTTGATACAGTACACATGGGCGTGCACATGTGTGCGTGCACACACACAAACACACACACATATGGAGAGAAAAGAGAGAGAGAGAGAGAGAGAGAGAGAGAGAGAGAGAGAGAGAGAGAGAGAGAAGAGAGAAAAGAGAGAGAGAGAGAAAATATATAAATACGCCCCCAAGACTGTTTGGTGTTGTTTATGTGTAAGATTTCAAGGCTGACTTTGATAACCAGTTAGGGCACTTATCCCTGAGAGTCTAATTCTCTCTCTCTCTCTCTCTCTCTCTCTCTCTCTCTCTCTCTCTCTCTCTCTCTCTCTCTCTCTCCCTCTCTCCCTCTCTCTCTTTCTCTCTCAACAGTCACTAGTTGCCTGTAGTTCTTTGTCTAGGGATGGGACCCATGAGATTTCCCTCTTCCAAGTTACTATGTCCACAATACATCCCAATTTTTTAACGTATGGAAGAGTGTACAGTTTTTCAATTTTTTTTTCTTTCACAGCACTAAGCTGAACTTAGGGCCTTGTGAGTACTAGCCAAACATTTTATCATTGAGCTATATTTGCAGCCATCTATAAAAAGTTATTTTTGGATCGAGAGAGATGTCTTAGCAGTTAAGAACACTTACTGGTCTTACAAAGGACCCAGGTTCTATTTTCAGTACTCCTATAGTGCCTCACAACTAGCAGTATTTCTAATTCCAGGGAGTCTGACATCCTCTTCTGGACTTTATAAGCACCAGGCAAGCACATGGTGCACATTTATATATGGTGATATTTTGTTTGCGCTCTAACAAATAAAGCTTGCCTGGAGTTCAGAGTATGGAGCTAGCTCTAGAGGCCAGGCAGTGGTGGCACACACCTTTAATCCCAGCACTTGGGATCTCATACCTTTGATCCTAGTACTTGGGAGGCACACACCTTTAATTCCAGCATTTGGGAGGAGGAAACAGGAAGTGATATGGCTGGGTGGAGAGAGGAAGTGATACGGTGGGGTGGAGAAAGGAGCTCTCCCTTTTCAGTCTGAGGATGCCCAGAGGTAAGAAGTCTTTCTAGTAGCTGGCTGCTCTGCTTCTCTGATCTTTCAGCTTTCACCCTGATATTTGACTCTGGGTTTTTATTATTAAGATCAATTAGAATTCGTGCCACATATATACATGTAGGCAAAATATTCATAGATAAAAAATAAAATAATTTTTAAAGTTATTTTAAGTGTATTTTAACAAAAAAGTTCACTAATCTTTGTTCTAGTTCTGCATCAAGATATCTCTCGATGGATTTTGTTTTCCTTTTGTGGTTTTGATTTTTTTAGGTTTTTACTTTTTGTTTCTCAGAACCACGATGTAGTTTGACTATAAAGGTAAAATGATCAAATTATTTATGGTTGTTTTGTGATTGTGAATTTTAGTGTTTTTCTCATAGCCGCTGAGAATTTTTATGTTTAAGACTATTCTCTAATAGAAAAAGAAAAATATGGGGAATGCTCTCCAGTAGAGAACAGCTAATTTATCAAATGAATATGTTTTTCTCTTTGTCTTTGCAGTTGCTCCTTCCTAGAGCCTTCTCTTAGGAGGAAGCGTGTAGTGATCATAACAGCTTTTTGTGTGATGGAATCTCCAAACTGATAATCTAATTTAAAAGACATCTCAATTTTTAAGATTTCAGAAGAAAGGAAGGCTGGACATAGAGAAGTTTGCAAGATTATCTAAGGATATGAAGTGGGTCACACTGCGTGGAGATGCTCAGTGCTGAGCATTTCATCTGACTTGATCCTGCTTATCATTTCTCTGCATCTCATCTGTGCCATTCAAACATTCATAACAAGCCAAATCTCCCTCCAAAGAGGATGTAGAGTCCAGGCTTCTTTCCTCTCCCAGCACAGTGAAAACAAGAGGCAGGTACTATAGCCTATGAATAACATTTCTGTCTGCTGACCTCTTCTGACATTGGATGCATGGCTTCAAGACAAATTGTCAGTCATCCATATTTTCTGTAGCCAGTTTCTGTTCTGAAAGGCCAGCTGGTTATTCCTTTGGGCTTGAGGTCATCCCTGGGCTTTTGGAACTGAGACCTGGTCCTTCTTTTCAGATATGGCAGTGATAACAGACACAAAAAGAGGTTACCTTACATTAGTCTGAATACCCATCTTTCCTCAAGATCACAACTACAGGAACACTTTGAGGAGTTAAATTTCTTGTCTCTGTGATGCTACCTATTTATTCTTAAGAATAATTTCTCCATCAGTGTAATCATTTAAGGACAGAGTGTTCTTAAGGTCATCTCCCCCTCTCTCTTTTGTCACACTTTTTTTGTCACTTGCATTCTTTGCTTTTCCACTGGTTTGATCAGTCTCAGCAGCTTCTAGTGCTTTATTTCAGCCTCCAAACTGCTCCACTACTGCCTCCTTCAGAGCCCACATGTCCCTGAGTCTGGGGCAGTGGCATGATCTAGCTTTTTCACTAGGGGAATTCTGCATGAGAATACCATTTTCTTCAGTTCTTCTCTTTCAGATGGGATGTTCTCCACTTTACTTCACTTCACCATAGCTTGGAATATCCTTGTTATGTCTTCAGAGCAGTGATGATAAGATGTAGGTGGATTTTTCTTTGGGTCACCAGCTCACAAATAATGACACAGAGACTTATTATGAAAGCTTGGCCTTAGCTTAGGCTTGTCCGACTAGCTCTTATAACTTAAATTAACCTGTTTCTATTAATCTATGTTTTACCATGTGGCTCTTTATCTTTCATTCTGTGTGTCTGATTCCCTCCATGTTTCGTTGGCATCCCGCTGGCGTAATTCATGCAACCTACATTCCTCCTCCTCTTTTTCTCTCTCCCGGAAATCCTGCCTATCCTCCCTGCCTAGCTATTTACATTCAGCTTTTTATTACACCAGTCACAGCAATACATCTTCACACAGTGTACAAATATTCCACAACAAGATCTGAGAGAGGGCTTGATCTATCAGAGAAGCTGGAACAGCCAAGTACTTATCCCCAAAGATCCCACAGTACTGTAGAGCACAGCTGCTCCTGTTTAACTGCTACCCCTTCTGACTCTCAGCTAATCCAGATACTGTATGCCCATTCCACCAGGGGACAGGTCATCTTGGCATCTACTTCCTGAAGAGTCTTCCACATAGTAGCAGGTTTGATAGCACCTATTGTACACATCAAATCAATTGGATTGATTTTTCTTGGAGAAACTGCAAGCACTAGCAGATGTTGAACACTGGGTAGAAGTGGAAAATGATGTCATTTTGGTGCTGAAGAAATTGCAGTCACTTGATTGAAATGTGCAGCTGTTGCACGGGTCACTCTTCCAATGAGTCTTCAGGGTATTGGTTACAAGTTCCAAGGCTTCAGCAGCATTTCAAAGTGATACCTAGCTAAGCACTTTAAAGAACCACTTTTTCCTCCTGAAATAATCTATGTTCTTATGTGTTGTGTTGACTAGTCCTCCCACTGCCACCAATAAAAGAACAACAACAATAAATAATAATAATAATAATAATAATAATAATAATAATAATAATAATAATGCAGTAGTGGTTACCGTCTACCTGGTACCTTGAAATGTGACTTTATTTGGAAATAAGGGATATAAGTAGCTAATGAAGTTACATTGAATTAGCACTAGCCAGGGGCCAATAACTAATGCCCATATAAAGACACAAGAAGACAGAGATACACTGAGAAGGTAATGTAGCAACAGAGTCAGATAAGAGTGTGATGCATCTTCAAGCCCTTGAATTCTAGGGATTGTTCACAACCATCAGAAGCTAGAAAGAGGTAATGAAGGAGCTTTCCCTAGAGCCTACAAGGGGAACATGGACTTGCTGAAACCTTGATATTGTATTTCCAGCCTCCAGCACTGTGAAATATTCATATTTCTGTTGTTTTGGGCCACCCAGTGTGTGGCACTTTGTTAGAGTAGACACAGGAAACTAATGTTCTTTCTTTCATTGTCCGTACTATGTATTATTTCCAGATTCTTCTCTAAGTCCACACCATGAGAAGAATGTTATGGTTCTAAAGCCAGATTAATTGGTTTTGAACCTCTACACTGCCATGGATCAACTCTGAGCAAGTGAGGGCTCTGTGCCTTGGTTTTTATGACAAGCAAAACAGGAATTAAATGAATTAATGCTAAAGTTTTATGTGTTTCTGTTGTGTGAAAAAATATCCACTGGGTTCAGATATTGTATAATTGGGAATGGTTCTAAGAAGGAGGAATTACAATATGAGTTAGGCCTTCAGTGTCTGGATGAGGCTGACCAAAAACTATGCAGGTAGGAGAAAGTGTAGGAATAGAGCAGCAAGACACCATGATGACCAGCATTGAAATCTATTATATTTATATGCATAGGAGCTCAGTAAGGCTGCTTATAGCTGGACCTTAAGAGTCAGTGTCTGAGTTCTCAAGAGCTGAGGAGAGGCAATACCCATGAAGGTGTCTGATCTTTTGACACTGAAACTGACATTGCCATCTACAAATGTGTTAGACTATGTTTATAGCTATCCTGGGATGCATACAGCTTGCCAGCCACACACTGGACATGGCTAGAACATTCATAATTCATTCCTAGTACATGTGGGGGAGCTGAGGCTTTGAGAAGCTTCTTTTAAAAATACAATTTAAAAAAATCATTCCTTGAGAATTTCACGTGTACACAATTTTTTTTATCACACCTACCGTCCACACCATGTCCCTTTTCCAGCTTCATGTCCTAGCTATTAAATATTAATCTGAGTCTAATCAGTGTTGTCTATATGCACATGGGTATAAGCCATCCACTGCAGGCATGGACAACCTATACCATGACATACTACTGAAGAAAAAGGACTCTCTCACTCCCAGAAGCTATCAACTGCCGGTAGCTTTTAAGCAGCTTCTTGAACTTGAATGTGAATTAAAATGCAGCCCAGACTATTCAGGAGTCTGGAATAGGTGGGCATATAAAGTCTTCATTTCCAACATACTAAAGATGCTGAGGTTTCTGGTCTAAAGACAATGCTTTAGCTCAAAATCCTTGCTACATTCATGCACCAGCAGCCTCAGCATTGCTGGGAACTTGTTAGAAACACTACATCTCAAATTTCCCTCATCCTCAAACCTACTGAATCAGAATCTGCACTTAAATCAGGTGCTTTACTCATGAGCTGTGTCTTAACATTTAACAGCACTGAATTAGGATTAGAGGACACTTGGTTGTGGTATTGTATTCCCCCAAATATTGTGCGTGCTAATAAACTTATCTGGGGTCAGAGACAGAGCAGCCACAATATTAAACATAAAGGATAGGCAGTGGTAGCACACGCCTTTAATCCTAGCATTCCAGAGCCAGAAATCCATGTGTTCAAGGATACAGCCAAGCATGGTGACTCACGCCTTTAATCCCAGAAAGCGAGCCTTTAATCCCAAGGAGTGATGGTAGAAAGCAGAAAGGTATATAAGGCGTGAGGACCAGAAACTAGAAGCATTTGGCTGGTTAAGCATTTGGCTGGTTAAGCATTTGGCTGGTTAAGTATTCAGGCTTTTGAGTAGCAATTCAGCTGAGACCCATTCTGGATGAGGACTCAGAGGCCTCCAGTCTGAGGAGACAAGATCAGCTGAGGATCCGGCGAGGTGAGGTAGCTGTGGCCTGTTCTCGTTCTCTGACCTTCCAGTGTTCACCCCAATAACTGGCCTCAGGTTTGATTTTGTTAATAAGAACTTTTAAGATTCATGCTACACTTGGTAACCCAGATTGCTAAAGGGGGTGATTTAGCCTACCTTTCTTTTCATACCAAGGTACACATTAGATCCTCACAGGGAAATCTTAAACATCTTGATGCCCAGGCAAAATCAGTTCAGTTAAATGCAATTCTCTCTGAAAGTAGGGCTCTGGGAAAGTGGTGCCACTTTTCAAACTCTGGGTTATTATTAGTGTGGAACCAATATTGCAGGCCACTGATCAGGACCAGAGACACTGAGACCAAGAACAGTTCTTTATGGGGTCTGGGCTCTTTAATGAGTCTAGCATTCACAGTAACCAATCACAGACTCTGGAGCAATGATTCAAAGCCTGTTTTGTACCATTTGCCTGTGCAATGTCATGAATGGTACTTGATCTCTTTTTGCCTTGTTTCTTTAAAACTGGAGATGGCAATAATAGTAGCTGTCTCACAGGGTGTTTGTTTACACGAACAAGAGTAAGAGTCCTTAGTGTAGTGCTTGAGACATAGCAAATGCTATGACAGTGTTTCTTCATTTAAATACACATCTTATTCCTTCTAACGTTCTCATTTTTCACTTTCTTGTACTCCACATCCAGCACAGCTTGGTCCTGGAAACCTGATTGGGACAACAAGAGAATGAAGAAAGGTCAGGCACACAGATACATGTTACAGAAAGCTCAGATAAGGTGGGTGGTATCCATTCTGATGGAGCAGCATTAACTACGTAACAGCCTACAGTCTCAGTATGTTTAGTATGTTAAGCAAGGGAAGGAGGGCTTGGCATCTCCATAGGTGGTAGGGGATCAACCTCAGGTTGTAGTCATCCAGGAAGAGGAAGGTGCAGTTGCTAGTTTGTGCATACACTGGTGATTGTTCATAAATACTCATACTTGGGCCAAAGAAAGGATTTGGCATTGCCTCTGAGTCTCACTCAGAGTAAGGCTTTAACAACTGTTATGGGTCTGAAATATTGGTTTTCTTGTCATGACTGAGCCTATGTCAATGATACATATTCACTCAAGACTCCATACATTCTTTACACATTCATTCAGGGCTTCCTTGGCTCCCCATGCTTATCACCCTATCCTGTCATCAGTGCTAGGCTTGGAGACAGTAATCTCATCTTTTATTAGGTGTGCAATAAATATTTGAGGCATGTGTGACTGAATAGGACTGAATGATTACAATGCCCCCTTGTGTATTTAGATGAAAATAATTAAAATGTGCAGTTCTTGATTCTAGGACAGTGTGACAAATTCTCCAGATTTGGGTTAGAAGAGGTATGATGTTGGATATGAGACTCTTGCTTCTAAAACTTGTCAAGTATCCTACCAACCAGAATGAGTTAGGTACCAAATACAAGCACTATTTGGATGTCCTTTTCTTGAAATACTGATCATAAGTAAGCATAAGGAGAAGATCTTGACACTAATTCATTTCTGTGCATGTAGTAAAGACAATTCCAAGGGCAATTTGCTGCCTGTTTTTTTTTTTTTTTTTGTGTGTGTGTGTGTGTGTATGCGATAGTAGATATCTGGAGTGTGGTGACAGTGTAGCACATAATATGCATTGCAAAAAGCAGTTCACATGCTTAGGGGAACATCAGATAGCCCAGGCAAAATTATAGTTATGCCATGTGGTGCTTTGAAAGAAAATAGTCCTCAAAGGGAGTGGCACTATTGGGAGGTGTGGCTTTGTTGGACTGGGTTTGTCCTTGTTGGAAGAAGTGTGTCACTGTGGGGCAGGCTTTGAGGTTTGCTATGCTCTGGATACCATGCAGTGTCTCAGTCAACTTCCTGTTGCCTTCTGGTCAAGATGTAGCCAGCATGTCTGCCTGCATGCCACCATGCTCCCCATCATGGTGATAATGGACTGAACCTCTGAAACTGTAAGAGAGTCACCCCAGTTAAATGTTTTCATTTATAAGAGTTGCCACGGTTATAGTGTTTCTTCACCACAATAAAAACCCTAACTAGGATATGCCATTTGTATTATTCAAGATTTTGTAGAACACAAACAATAGAATGAATATATATGTCCATATATAAAATATTTAAAAAATATTCATATATATGAAATGTCTTAGGATACAATCTAGGTAGCCAAACAATGGCTGTCTTTACAGTAGAGAGGCTGAGCACATGTAGCTGCTAAGTTCATGAGGCTGGATGCTTTAGCAGTCTCAATCTGGCACTAAAGGCCTGCAAGATTTCTGGAGAGCCACCTGCTTTTAGTGTATGTTGAAGGGTTGAAGAAACTGGGTTCTCACGTCCATGAAGGAATGTTATTGTGGAATATTATTTTAAGATGTGTTACATTTGTTTATACTGTGGAATATTGTTTAATGATGCAAAGATGTATTGTATTCTTTTATGTTGCATTTGCTTAACTCTGTGAAGTCCTGTTACTGTGCCTGCCTAAAACACCTGATTGGTCTAATAAAAAACTGAACAGTCAATAGTGAGGCAGGAGAGGGATCAGAAGGGCTGCCAGGCAGAGAGAATGAATAGCAAGAAGAGGGGGGAGCGAGAAAGATAGAAGGAGAGGAGGACTCCAGGGTCCAGCCACCCAACCACACAACCAGTCATGGAGTAAGAAGGAAAAAAACCTATATAGAACAGAGAAAGGTACAAGTTCAGAGACAAAAGGTATATGGGATAATTTAAGAAAAGTTGGCTAGAAACAAGCCAAGTTAAGGCCAGGCATTCATAAGTAAGAATAAGTCTCCATGTATTTATTTGGGAGGTGGGTGGCAGTCCCTCAAAAGAGTAAAAAAAAAATCCCTACAGAATATGGCAATAATGGCAATGGCAACAGGGTAGATGAATTCCCAAATGGAGTAGGTGAACTCATCAGTGAGATGTGAAAACAATGAGGCAAAAACAAAAATAAAATTCCCTTTGACATCCTTATATATGAGCTGCCACCAGAAGGTGCCACCCACATTTAAGGTGGGTCTTCACATTTCAGTTACCCTAATCAAGAAAATCCATCATAGGTGTGCCCTAGGACTTTCTCTTAGTTGATTCTATAGTCAGTCAAATTGGAAATCAAGATCAAACCACTTAATAATTTTTTGCTTCAGTCTCTGTTTTGAAACTGGAGAGAATAGTAGTTCTAATCTTGAAGAATTATTAGAATAGTAGTATCCACTCGTGTGAATTTAATAGAGTGCTAGACATTTAAAGAAAGATCAGCTGATATTAGAATTTATTATTATTGCTATCAATTGTCACTAATAGGCGGCCTATAGCCCTTGCTTGCTTCTTTCCCTTACAACTCTTCAAATCCCTCCCCTTTGCTCTGAGCCCTTTGTACCTTTTTTTCTGTATTTTATCCTTGATCATCCCCCAGTCAGAGGGATTAGCAGTAATTTTACCATTCTTTCCAGGATTGTACAGACTGTGTTCCTCATAAAGGAGCCTAGATGGACTGCATTCCCAGTCCTTGCTCCAAGGAGAGTAGATGCCCCCAAAGAGGTGTCTTTTTCTAAATTACACAAAGGCTAAGCAAGCTGTGATGGAGATTTGCTGATGGTACATAGAGGAACAAGTTTAGTGATTTTTATTTCCTATCTTAAGTATTTCAGATCCACTAGCTGCCCAGGTCATGTTAATCTTGAACAGTATTCACTTCCTGAAAATCAAAGATGTAGGCATCTTTCCAAAAATGTTAGTGTATAGAATTTTTGTTTGGTTTATTAAGGCCATTTGTTTTCAATATGAAGCTGAGACTACCTGACCCAGGAATAGCATGAACAGCTTTTAAGATTTACATTATTTCAACACCTACAATAACAATGACTGGAATGATTTCGTTTTAAAAGGAAATGGAAGAAGCCAGATGTGCTGACTCATGACTTGAGAGTCTAAGATGAAAGCATCAACATGAATTTGAAGTCAAACTGAGACATAGCAAGAGTACCAGGCCAGCCTTGGCTACATAGAACATCAACAACCAAAAACAAACAAATAAACACAAACAACCAAAAGAGATTATGAAAGATTATTTTGAAAAATTTGAACCATAGCATAATATGCTGATAACAATAGTATAGAACATATTTTATATATCACCATCAAACATGAAATTGTCCATATCTTAAATTCAAATTCTATATTTAAAAATTTGTACCATTATCTCCTGTATTCATCCTTTATATGTAGTTTAATAGTATATCAAATATACATATATATATATATGCAGATAATTAAGGGTCTCTTCCTTGCACAATATGTCTCCCTCCCCGGAGATGCCTTCAAGTTCATTATAGGTCAAATGGGCAATCTACAGAAAATATTATAAGAAGCAAATACCTCTTGCCTAATAACTCCCTTTTACTAGTTACTTCTTTTATTAATATAGAGACAGCATTGATAAAACTAAGTGAAATTATGAAAGAATTAACCTTTGGTGACAATATGACATAATCCTAAGAATCAAGAGATTTTACAGACTAAGGCACTGCGTTCTTCACTACAATCCAAAGTCTGAAAATGGATACTCATAATTCTGATTTTCAAAAGGATGAAAGCAGATTCAAGAAACTGAAGACTGAGATATTAAGCCATTCTAGATTCTAAGACAAAGTTGTGTTTTAAACTCTTGAAAAGCATGGGTCAGGCATGATGCCACATACCTTTTAATCCATTCCAGCACTTGGAAGGCAGAAGCAGACAGATCTCTGTGAGTTTGAAGCCTATCTGGTCTATGTAGCAAGTTTTGGGCCAGCTGGGGCTACTCAGTGAGACTCTGGCACAAACAAACAAACAAACAACAAACATAATGAACAAGATCTAGAAACATAAATGCCACTTAGTATGGGAAGCATGCTGTTTACCTCTGCATGGATCCACACCCTTTGACATGTGTGTCTCTGACTAAAGAAGTAAAGTATATTTCCTCTACTCATATGTGTGCCTGTGGCCAATGTGCACCCTCTCTGTATGTGCGTGTGTGCCTGTCCATTTATGTGTCTCTGTGCCTGTGTGTGTATATGTGCCTCTGTGTGTGTGTGTGTGTGTGTGTGTGTGTGTGTGTGAGAGAGAGAGAGAGAGAGAGAGAGAGAGAGAGAGAGAGAGAGAGAGAGAGAGAGAGAGAGAGAGAGAGAGTCAGAGAACAACCTTGGCATCATCCTAAAACATGCAGTCCACCTTTGAAACAGGATCTCTTATTGACCTGGAGTGCGCCAATTAGGCTAGACTAGCTGGCCACAGAGCCCTAGTGAGCCTTCTGTCTCTGCTTCCTCAGCGCTGGGATTTGAAATGTGTGCTGCCACATCAGGCTTTTTACATGTGAACTGGAGCACAACCTGGGTCCTCATGCTTAAAAGGCAACCACTTTACCAACTGAGCTCTCTCCCTAGCCACCTATTTCCTCTCGTCTTGATTTAGGTTTGACCATGTTGTATGTATTGAGAGTAAAATAGGCAGAAAGGCCCATGTGCCTATTCTGTGCACAGGCCTCAAGAGGCCGGCTACGTACTCCCCCCTGATCTTCTTTGCCTCTACCACTCTTGTATTAGAGGCTGATTGATTTAGTGAAAAACATAAGAGAAATGAGCAGCAGAACCTCCAGTCACTGTAGCCTGAAGCACAGCTATTTAGCCAACTCCAGCCTAGGTTAATTGACTCAAAGATGCAAAGCGAGCCCAGCAGAGATTAACAGATACCCCAATTCACCTTTAGACACAAGAGCTGGATACATACACTTTATGTCATAAGCCTTACAGTGTTCTGAATCTAATATATAGTGTGAAGATGAATGCAGAAAATCAATACACTATGTTTGTCCTTTGGTAGCTGAACAAGAGCCCTAAGTAGATGGCAGTGTATGTGAATGTTACCAAACAGTGCATGTGAATGTTACCGAACAGTGCATGTTATGTAGCTACAACCTTAAAGATGAGATGGAAAATCATGGGCTCATTACTACTAAATTGCTATTAATGTTTGAAGAATGATCAAGAATATTAAATAATAAAGTCTGAGATGGCGCAGTAAGGTTTTTATTGCTTTTATCTTTTACTATTTCTCATACATGGTTTGAATGAAAGTATAGAAAAATAACAAATACTTTCAATGAGAAGCTATAACTACCCTGGAAACAATGAGTGAAATATAACCAGATGAGATTAAAATTGATAAATACAAATCATGTGCAAGGGGACAGATAAAACTGCCTAAACATGTGAAAATTAGTATATATCAAGTTAATTATTGTATATTTAATACATCACTACAAATTAATATGTAACATTATAGCATATAATATTATATACTCTGACTAACATATAATTATGTAATAAGCAATATAGCAATGTATAATGTATCACATAATATAATTTTACATACCCTATAGACCCAGAAATTCTACTTCTAGAAATTTACACTGAAGAAGAATTGTACATGTGGGTGGATTGAGGGACTAGTAGAGAAAGCCTAGCAGTAATAGTATTAAGTAATCAGAAACCAGTCTAAATATATGTCGATGGAGCATGGTACATAACATAAAATATGTAACAAGAAAGTAAGCCAGTCTTTAAATATTGTTCTGTTTTAGCAGCGTTTCTCAAATGAAACCAAGCGGGAAATGAAAACCACTGTATTGGCATTTTCTGGGCAGCTAGTTAAATAAATATAGGTTTCCATGGGGCTCAGGAGATGAGTTAGTTGGTAAAATGCTTGTGGTGCAAACATGAGGACTAGTGTTCAGATTAGCAGCATTCCTAGTGACATGATGTCTAAAACCTCAGAGCTGTGATGGAGAGTGGAGATAGGTGGGTCCTTGGAACTTATTGGCTAGCCAACCTGGCAGAATCCATGAGCTTTAGATTTAGTGAGGAACATGTTTCAAAAAATAAGGTGGGTACTGATCGAAGAAGATGTTGATGTTGACCTCTGGTCTCCACATTTGTGTGTATATTCACTTAGTATGCACATGTATGTGTACACACACACACACACACAGACACACAGACACACAGACACACAGACACACACACACACACACACACACACACACACACACACACACACACACACACACCCCAAAACAAATAAAACCATCTAATACAGGTTCCCAGATTCTTCACAGAATACTGAACCAGAGTTTGGGGGCTGAATAGAGGGAAGTACATTATGAAACTGTAACAATTCAAATACACACACACACACACACACACACACACACACACACACACATGCATATATATGTATATACACGTATATATTTTTCTTATTATTTTTAATGAATTTTCTTTCTAAAATTAGTATATTGCCTAATGTGTTCCATTATAAAATTTTCACACTGTGATGGTGAGTTTTAAATTGGAATCACCTGGGAAGAGAGCCTCAGTAAAGGATTGTCTATAGCAGGGTGGCCTGTGGGTATGTGTGTGGGGATTGTCTTGATTGCCTTAATTGACTTGGGAAGATCAACCCTCAATGTAGGCAGAACTTTCTGGTAGCAGCCCAGATAAAGGGAGAGGAAAAGCTTGCCCTTCACTCTTGAGTTCATCTGCTTTATTGCTGCCACTGTCTATTGCTTTGCTCACATTCGAATCAACTTTTTCAGGGTTCCTATATAAAACGATCGGAAGACTGAAGATGAGTGGCTCTCTAGGAATCTCCCAGGCCTTTAGCATCAGATTGGGACTGCTGAGGCACCAAGTTTTATGGATTTAACAGCTACTGGGTTTTCACACTCTGGTAGGAGACAGCCATTGTTGGACTACTCTAGTTGTACTGTGTAAATTGAGCTAAAAATTGTCTTGCAATATCTATTCATTGTGTTGTATGTTCCACTAGAGAAGCCTGACTAACACACACATAGTTTGTTTTTATCGATCCTTTCCCTCACCTCCCAGCCCCCTTTGACTGCTTCTCTTCCTGATCCCTCCTTTGCTTTCACGTCACATATATTTTGTGTGTATGGTTGGGTAAGTCATGAAACTAGTCAGGGAGACAGGAGACAGGAAGAGGTGCTCTTAAGGGAAGGTTAGAAAGCGGAAACAGAAAAAAATCCTTTTGGTTAATATAAATTATGTACACATAATGGGTTTAATTATGACTTTTCATCCATGCATCTAATATATTTTGATGATATCCATTGCCCATTACCCTCTCTTACCTCCCTCCCACTCCTGCTTAGCCTCTTCGTCTTCCTAACTAGTCGCCCAATGCTTGTATGCCTTTTAAAAAACTACCCAGTGAGTTCCATTCAGGCTGTATACAGGAGAATGAGTGAGGGAGTTCTTTTACAGAATCATGGGCACTTTACCAGTGACCACACCATTGAAATAAATATTTCCCCCTTTCCATCATGCATTAATTGTGTATGAATACGCATGGACTGATGAGGCTTTATGAGCTCTTCCCAGGTTGTTGACAGGTCCAGTATTCTGACGATAGTCATAGCTGCTACGAGTTCAAGAGAGTCATTCCAAGCAATGTTCTACACCACCACTCCCCACTTCCTTCAGCTCTTCCTATATACCAATGATAAATATACTGAGGGAGAGAGGGAATATATTTTTAACAAATACTCTCAGATAATACACTTGCCTAAAATTTAAGTGCATTGTTAGAAAAAAAATTAATGGTACATGGAAATGCTCATGGTGTAGTGACAAAGTAAGTTCTAAAACCAATGGTTCCTTTTCTGTAAAGATACATATTTGAGTAGAAGAAATTATGAAATGAAAAGGCCAAAGTGATAACCATGGTCAATACAGTGTTATGTTACATTAACATACAGCAACATTTGGGATATCTTCCAAGACACTGCCCCAGTAGGTGCTTGAATCTGTAACAGTAGCAAATCATGTATCTGAGCACCTGGAGAAGGAGACTAATGGATCTGGAAACTGAGATGACTACCATGTGATGAATAGACAGGTTATTACATATGGTGTCTGGACACAGGAATGTCTCATATTCCAGGTGGGATGGAATGGGCTGATGTGATAGTTCATCATGCTCCTCACAATGGCATGCAGTTGACAACTTTTGTAAATTTTAGTTCTGGAACTTTCACTTTAATATTTTCCTACTATAGTTTCTTAGTCACTGAAAGTGTGGAAAGTAAAATAGAAGATAAGGGAAGACAAGTATATAACTTTTTAAGTGGATTTTTAAGGCAATGTCTCATACAGCCCAGTCTGGCAAGCCTTGAACTCCTGATCCTCCTACCCCCATCTCCCAAGTTCTAGAATTATAAGCATGTGATGCCATGTCTGGCCTAAATTTGGGGGAAGTAATTTATAGTCCCTCTCCACGTATTTTTTGCTTTTCTTATCCCATTCTGCTTTCTTTCCATGGCAAAGGTTTGGAGTTGGACAAAGAGTAAAAGCTACCTACAAAATATTTCCCTTCCTGGATTTTGGTTCCAAAAGCCTCTCCCTCTCAAAAATTATAGTGGTGTCTTAGAGAATGTAAAGCAAGAATTTCTCCAAAAAGAAATTGTAACTGGAAACAGGAGAGATGAGTCCAAGAGCCTGGACAGCCACAGGTATCTATATTTTGCATACTGACAGTTTCAGGAAAAACAGGTGGACTTCAGACAGTCGAGATAAGGGTTGGAGGCTAGCCAAGCATTAGGCTCCTAGCGGCCAGGGCTTCCTCATCCCTTCTGTGGCCAATAACCTGAAGCATCTAAAGGGCTAAGAAATCCTGTGTGCTAGCGGCTCTGTGATCTATCTGCCTGAGATCCACAGGAGTTTCCTGATGTCTTAGTACTATGTGGCACCCAGATCCAAGGCACACCCTTGTGAGCAAGGGAAAAGTCCTAATAATATCTGTGGTTGAATTTCCTACAAGCTTGACATGAACATGGTAGGGGATTCTGAAAATGAAGACATTTCAATGTTTCTTACTCACAGGAATTTGTGGATTGAGGTTTATGTCTGATAACCGCAGGAAGATGGGTTCCTATTCCTAGGCAAGGTGAGTCCATTCTTCACAAGGCAAATAGCACAAGTAGATGATGTGACATCAGGAATGTAGTTAGCTGGCAGGAGAAACAGAGGCAGGGAAAAATAGTGAGCTTGTGTCAGAAAAGATCTCTCTTTCATTTCCGCAGCCTCAGATTTCTGCATCTCTAGCCAATATATTTCATTCCCAGGGGCATCAATTCCTCCATAAAAAATGAAAAATCTCAGAATAAGTGAACACAAAGCTCCCCCTACCTTCTGGGACCTTTTGGAATTGTTCTCTCCTTTCTTGTGGTCAATTGCATTTCTTCTCTCTAAGAAATGAGGTGTTAATCAGCCCTGCTAAGCTACAGTGAGCTTGACCTAGCACATTGGAGAAAGCAGTGTGTGCTAGGATAGTTGGCACTACTGAGCAGGCTACCAGTGTGCATTTCAGTCTGCACAGTTCCAGGGTTTGAGATGCAGTGCATCACTCCATGCAGATTTAATTGAAGGGGTAGAGGGTGATGAAACCAAGTTTGCTCTTTAAGCTTGAGCCATTCAGTAAAGATGGGCTTTCATACTGGTCTCAGAAGGCCAATTTGTCACTCTCGAGAGCAATTTCACATTAACACAATGTCAGTGCTGCTGGGGATTGGCTAGACCACCTTTGGAAGAGGTTAAATTATCTTTTAATCAGTATGGAAAAGAATAAGTGCTTCTGTTCCATCATGGTGTTGCAGTCTTGCTGATCTGACATCTTATAAAAGCCACAGTAACTCTAACAACACCCGTGGAACTTGGCCTGTATCATTGCCAGGGAGGCAAAGACAGGAAAGAAGGGTTGCTAGGGCTGTTATCCAAACTGGCATAATTGATGTGGGTGCAGTAGGTTAGAGCTAATGGTCTGTGTTTAATTATGGAGGCAGTGACACGAGGCCTCAAGGATGATCAGGCACTAACCAGATGATGTACCACTCTTTCACTTATAAGCTCCCCAAGTGGCTGGAAAGAGTCAGAACAATGGCAGGATGGTCTTATTTCCACATTTCTCCTGGAATTTGGGCCTATTCACCAAAAAGCACAGGGCTGTACTTATAAGATGTATCCAAACTCAGCAAGGTCTGTGAGGAACAGTCACTGATAGACCCTAGATGAAAGTATTTTGAAATCTACTGCTGTGGGAATCTGTCCCTTTAAATTCGGGTGTTTTACATTAACATGTTCCCAAAATTTATCAGTCATGTAGGAAATGTGTAACTTTTCATTTTGTTTCATTCCTTGAGACAAACAAACAAACAAACAATCTTATGTCCACTATCTCAATATCACACTACATCCATTCTCAACTTACAGTGATAGAATCTTCAGGTTCTAGCTGTACACATGGCTGCCCAGCTAGGGACTACATTTCCCAGCCTCCATGGTGGCCATGAGAGAACATGTGGCTAAGTTTCAACCAATAAAAAGGGAGCAGAAGTGACGTTAATAATGGCCAACTCATATTCTTAAAGAAAACTGCTCCTCTACTTGTTTCTCCTTCCTAGTGGGTAAGATTGGGGCTGTGGTAGGTGGTGGTGGAATTTCAGTCTTCAAGACACCCTATAAAATAATAGGACAATAACAAAGGAAAAACCTGGGTCCTTAGATCACTTCCCAGAGGAAGGTTATCTTACTCCATCAACGGCCTGCAAGCACACACTTATTCCCAACTAGACTATTTTGTCTGAGCTGTTATTTTGGTGTCTGTTTAAATGAATTGTTATTTACCAAAGTAAAGCACTTTCTAGTTTGCAAATACCTTTGTATGTTTCTCACTCAGCTGTAGGAGAGAACCAGGTGAAGAAAACAATTACAAGAGTGGCTAGAGCATCTACTCAAGGAAGTACATACCTATGAAGATACAGATCCCCACCTTGAATCCAAGTCGCTGGATTCCTGGTGCTCCTTTTACTTTGGAAGCCTCAAGACACAATCTGATACAAGAAGGAAATTTCCACTCATTGAAATTCATAGCTCTTGCAGTTTTGATTGCTTAAACATCCGATCTCCATCCAGCTCTTCTCTCCTGCTTTCCATCTCCTACAGGCCTCCAAAAACAACAAAAAAGAGAAGCTCCATAAAGCAGCTTTCTTTAAAAAGAAAAAAAAGAAGGTTGATGGCGTTGCTTAAAATGAGAAGAGTCTGGGTTGGGGAGGGAGTGTGTGTGCAGTGGGAGGAGTATTTTATCAATGACACTGTTTAGAATCGCCAGAACATTGTGGTAATAAAAAGCAGAGCAACTTTTAGTCAGTTTTATTATTGTTTTTAAATTCTATAAGGAGATGAGCCCCTTATTGCCTGTCTCCCTGTTTTGCCTGCACCTGGGACCACTTCGATCGCCTCTCCACTCACTATACAACATAATAATTAGAAAGGAAAGAATCACGCCATGTACAATTTGGCTAACTTTTGCCTTGTTCTCTTTGTTATGTATACATGTTCAGGAAATGGCTGGCATGTTTGTGCTGATTGCCGCCTCTTCCATTTAAAAGCTTCTGTAATGAAGAGGGAAGCTTGCCGGCTTCCTTGGGTTATTCCTTCCCTCTTATCTCCATAGTTACAAGAGTTGGTTCTGTGTAATTTTTTTTTTTTATAGCTGGCATCTTGCCCAACTCAAATTGATTATAAAGGTTGGGAGGGCCAGTTGAGATCTGCAGCTTGATTCCCGGGGAAGTTGGCTGTTTGGAAAGATAGCAGTGACAGCTGAGATAGCCTGCAGATGGGAAGGAAAGGCTGGAGGTTCCGGATTTTATTACAGAGCTCATGAATGACTCACTCCTCTGGTTCCTCCTTGGAGGAACACGGAAGATGAGTGCCTAGAGGAAATCAGTGAAAATGTTCTCTCCTGAAAGGCTTTATGGTAGGGCTGCCATACTAAATACAGGGTACCAGTTAAGTTTGCATTTCAAATGCATTACAGTGTGTGTCCCCACCTATGGCATGGGAAAAAATTAATACTAAAAATCTGAAAGCCCAGCTGGTCTTCACATAAACAAGGCAGTGTGTGTGTGTGTGTGTGTGTGTGTGTGTGTGTGTGTGTGTGTGTGTGTGTGTGAAAACGTATCTCATGACATATTTGGAAAATACTTAAATGTTATACATTGTTTATCTGAAATGCAAATTTTCACAGGGAAGCTTGTATTTTTGTGTTTGTTGTTTTGCTAAAAGTGGCAGCCCAACTTACAGAAACGCAGTCAGACGTCATGAGATGATGTTCTTTAAAATTCAGGAGCAGCCAGTCTTGCTTTTTCTCTCAAAAACTATAGGCTTTGAGTTATCAGTGGGGAAGGGCCCATGAGAAAGAACAGTGAAGACATTGCAAACTGGGAAGTGATGCTTTACCACCAACTGGCTGAGCAAACTTAGACAAGATCCTTCACCTTCTTGTACCTTAACTGCCTAAAAGGATGGCCTTCAGTGGCTTCTAACAGAAGAAAATGACTCCATGGTTCCATGTTCTTCCTGTGTTACTAACATTTACCTGGAACTGGGTGTCCCCTGAGATCATACAGCTTCGCAGTGTCCAGAAGAAGTAAAATGCAAGTTACGTATACAATTTTAGGATTTAGTGGCCACGAATAAAAGTTGAAAGAAACAGCTGAAGGGAACTTTAATGATGTGCTTTATTCAAATAATGATATTAAAATATTATCATTTCTGTTTATAGTCATACTAAATCATTAATGTTATGATTTACGTTATTTTGCGTGACATCTCCAAAATGTGATGCTTATTCTTACAGCACATCTCAATTTGGACTAGCAACATTCAAGCACCAAATAATCACAAGTGGCTCAATGGCTATCTTGATGGACATAAAAAATGAGCCAAATAAATAAAAAGAAAAATGAGTACATAAAATTTAGAAAGATAAATTCAAGTTCAAAGTTTTGTAAAAAATGAACATACAGTTGATTATTATTAATGAAATATACATTTGTGATTTTTTTTTGTGTGCTGACTAAAATTCATTTGTAACCCCAAAATTAGTATGGCCATCTGTGGGAACACACATACACAGAACTATAAAGAGCTGAATTATGGCCGGGCAGTGGTGGCACACACCTTTAATCCCAGCACTTGGGAGGAAGAGCCAGGTGGACCTCTGTGAGTTCGAGGACAGTCTGGTCTACAGAGCGAGATCCAGGACAGGCACCAAAACTACACAGAGAAACCCTGTCTCGAAAAAACAAAAACAAAAACAAAAACAACAAAGAGTTGAATTATGAATTGTATGCTTCAGGTATATGTCCAGGAGTAGTATAATTAGTGCAACACTTAATCTTGGTTGTCAACTTGACTGGATCTGGAATCAACAAGAGATGATAGAGCTCTGGGTGGGTCTGGGAGGGCATTTTCAGAAAGGATTAACTGAGGGAGAAGACCTTCCCCCAAAGTGAGCAGAACGTTCTGGTAGCAGTTCAGGTGTAAAGAGGTCCAAGAAAAAAAGCAGGAATTTGCTTGCCTGCCTTTGCTTCTTATTGATGAGTACATCTATCCAGTTCTTGATGCTGCTGTCTTTCACTACCATCAGAACCCAGGCTCTTTTGCCTTCCATCATGGACTGAAGACTAACTATTGCTCTCTACGAATTCTCCAGACTTTCAGAACCAGTTTGGGACTGCTAAGGCACTAAGCCTTACAGACTGAGCAACTTCTAGGTTCTCAGCCGCTACAGCAGTGGTTCTCAACCTTCCTAATGCTGTGATCCGATCCTTTAATACAGTTCTTCATGTTGTGGTGACCCCAACCATAACATTATTTTCGTTGCTACTTCATAACTGTCATTTTGCTACTGTTATGAATTGTAATGTAAATATCTGGTATGCAGGATATCTGATATATGAGCCCTGTGAAAAGGTCATTCGACTCCTGGGTTGAGAACCACTGCTCTACAGCATGCAGACAACCCATGCTGGATTACCCAGTGCCTATGAAGTGAGTCAATCTAATAACTTCCCTTTTGTAATATATTCATACTGTCATTCTATCAGTTCTGTTCCACTGAAGAACCCTAACTAGTACAATTAGTCAGATAGTAGTTCTAGTTTCAGAGTTTTGAGGAACCCCTGTACCAATTTCCATAGGGGTTGGATTAATTTACATTTCTACCTGTAGGATATAATGTTCTCTTTCTCCCACACCCTCAGCACTCAGCAGCTTTTGTTTTCTTAATGGATAGCTAAGTTATAGAATCAGCCTAGATATACATTAACAGATTAATGAATAAGAAAATGTATATATACTCACAGTGGAGTGTTAGTCTACTACAAAGAAGAATGAAATTATGTCATTTACTAGGAAGTGGATGCAACTGGAGATCATCATATCAAGTTTAACAAGCTAGGCTCAGAAGGACAAACAAATACCCCATCTTTTCTCTTCTTTGTAGATCTGACATTTTAAATAATTAAATAAAAGCACACACACACACACACACACACACACACACACACACACACACACACACACGAGGTATGAAAGCAGAAGCAAGACTGTTTGGAGGGAGGAAGGGGCTAGTGTGAGTGGGGAATGAATACAGAGGATATGAGATGTGAATATGGTCAAAGTACATGATATACTTGAATAAAAATGTTTGTATAATCTATCAGTGCATACAATGAATATACACCAATACTGTTTTTAAGTCAAACTGCCCAATGCACACATTCCCTGCTAAGGTTGAAGAAGATAAAACATTTTCTTGTTTTAGCTCTCAGGATGTAAATAAGGAACCTTCTCATGGCCTATTTAGATCCACAGTTTTCACAAATTCTCAGGCAAGTTCTGCAGTAGCTACAAGGAGGCTGTAATGTGCCTTATGGAGAAAAGATGTGTTAGATAAGATTCAGCCAGTCAGGAGTTGCAGCTGTTAGCTATGAGGTCAACGTTAATGAAACAACAATAGATATTAAATGCAGCCTATATTTAAGTCAAAAAACACATTAGAAAGGTATTTGCTGGTGGAAATAGCTCTCTTTCCCCTTTTCATTCAGTCCAGGACTGCTGCCTATAAACTGGTACAGTTCATGTTCAGGGTGGGTCTCCCTTCCTTGATTAACCAAATCTAGATAATCCCTTACAAATATGCCCAGAGCTGTCTCCATGGTGTTTCTAAATCCCATCAGGTTGGCAATCAAGATTAACCATCATACCATAATTTAGTTAGATTTCCTTAGAGGCTCTAGCCAGGGGAAGTAATTCAGCATTTACTAGCCCAGTGTTCTTGATGATGTCATAGAACATAACTAATGCAGCTAATGAAAATTGATTGTGCTGTATGTTTTCAGACAGTTTAAGATTTCCAGAAAAATGAACAGTTAGTACAACGTGTTCCCATACTTTTACACAGCTTGCCCTACTATGGGTCCCTTAAGCTAGTATAGTATGTTTGTTATAGTCTTATTAACGATAATCCATCTGTATTACTTGTCTTGTTTCTGTGATAAAATACTCCGACAAAAGCACTTCAGGAAGCAAGGGTATATTTTGTTGCAGGGCATAGTCTATAATGGCAGAGAAATCACGGTGGCAGGATCCTGAGGTGGCCACAGTCAGGAAGTAGAGAGCGATGGATGCTGGTGCTTAGCTCACATTCCCCTTTTTATTCAGTTTTCCCACCTCAATCAATCTAATCTAGACAATACATTGCAAATATGCCCAGAGATTGTCTCCATGGTGATTCTAATTCCATAAAATTAACAGTCAATATTAGCCATCATATCATAATTTACTTACATTTCCTTAGCTTTTGCTTAATATCATTCTTCCAGTTATCAAGACACCATAGCATATTTAGTTGTCAAATCACTTTGCACTCCTCTTGGCTGTGGAAGTTTCTCAGACTTTCCTTGTTTTTGATGACCTTGAGAGTTATAAGGAGTACTGGTCAGGTATATTAGAGGCTTTGCTTCTATTGCAATTCATCTGATGTTCTTCTCATTCTGATTAAATTGGAGCTTCTGGTTTGGGTGAGGAAGACCACAAGAGTGTGATTTTTATCATAGCATATCATGAGTATATATTCTCAATATGATTTATGACTGCTGCTCTTGGCATTGGTCCCTTGGTCAGCATAGCGTTTGTTAGGTTTCCCTACTCTAAAGTTACTTTTTACCTCTCCTCTTTCCTACTGTGCTCTATGGAAAGAAACCACTGTGCAATCCATACTTTGAGTGGTGAGTTGTGTTCCACCTTCTTTGAGGGCAGAATAGCTGCATAATTTTATTTGAAATTCTTCTGCATGAGAAATGTATCTCTTT